TAGACGGTTGGATGTTTCTAATTATTATGGGAACTTCTACGATATTCCCCTATTTTTATTCGTATTTTCCTTATAGTATGTAATAGGTAGATAGATAAATAATAGATACTAGTACAGGTGCTAGAAATACGTGATTTTGTTGTTTTTGTGTAGCTCGCATACAATGGTATTTCGTCATGAAACTTCGCAGATGATTAGTATTTATCCATATGTTTAAGTGCGTTTTTTTAGAATGTTTTGAAACTTAAATACTCCCTCCATTTTTATATACAAGGTCACTATGGAATATACGTTTTGCATCTATACAAGGTCACCAACAGTAATCGAGGTAAAATTAATGATATTTTCTCGTACTAGCAACCTGTTTAATAGTTGCATGCATGCAGTCATAATGACAGTCAGTTACTTCCTCCACTCAGTTTTCTTGCATGCATGTGGAGTATTAATGATCCCAGTAAATGAAAAGAAAGACTGACTTTCAAAGCAGACATTAAATTTTATATTGGTACCTATAATTTGAGTTTGTGGCCTTGTATATAAAAATGGAGGGAGTATTTGAATTTAAACATTTTGAATTTCGAGCTTCATGGAGCTGGAGCTCCATTTGGCATTTCTATCATTCTCTTAGATATATAAAATAAAGCACACGGCCAAATGATACTTGGTGTTGTAGACATCCTTAGAGACTGGTCATTGTAACAAAAACACGACAACACACATCAAGGACACGAATAACGCAAAGGACTGTACTATCAAATGTCGCCAGTGTGCCTCCGGAGCTTTGCTACATGCACGGAGCGATTTCACGGACGTTTACAGGGCGTGCTGATGTGGAAAGGTGTCATTGGGAAGAAGAGGTGAAGCGGGCCCACCCCATGAAAATGGAGGGGGGGGGGGGATTGACAGTAAGATGGAAGGAGTCCGTTGTAGCCCCGTAAAGATCCGTGCATGTAGAATTTTCTCTCCAAGGAGAAGTGCAGGAGCTATGCCGCCACGACGGCTAGCCATCCACACTCAGCGAATAACTCTTTCGCACTGCATCGATGGATCTGAGAAATGTCAACTTAGTCAGCCAATAAACTATGGCGTGCATCAAAGTGAAGTCAGACCAAGCATTCCATTACCATGACTTGGCTCTAGCTTGGACATGACTGATGACTGTACGGGCGCCGGCCATGGGTAGCTCGCACATCTGTGATCCGTACCGGAGTACTTTATGCTAGAGAGGTCCTATCTGTGATCCGTACCGGAGTACTTAGCTACTCGTTTTGCGCGAACGATGCTTTGGAGGCGTCGATAGACGTGAAGTTTCAAAGGAGATCGATCCAGGAATCTACAAGTGAGGGTCAAATAGGTCTAGGGGGGAGGTACACCATTGCATAGCTATAGCTTATCCGTACTTATATGGTATGTTATTGTTATTTCTCACCAGGATCGATTGAAGCGAAGACTTTTGAGTTTTGAGCAGTGCCAGCTGTGGACTTCCTTAACCGCCAAGGCCTCCAACTTGTCATATAAATATTTAAATAAATACTTACCCAATACTCTCTCCGTTCTAAAGTAAGTGTCTTAAGTTTAGTATAATTGTATTAAAATTAATACAAAATTTACATTTATTTTGGAACGGATGGAGTGGTATCTAAATTTTGCGGTAGACAAACTTTTGATACAAACATGTTAGAATGGTCTAGATAGAGACCAACTTTCGATGCAAGCATGTAAGGGAAACTATAAATGATCGCCTAAAAACCTTTCGAGGCGGATAAATGTGGTTTTCCTCTAAAAAGGAACTGGCGGAAGCCCAGAAAGCTTTAGTGGATGAAAAAAAATTACTCTGAGCAGGCCGTGATGCTTCAATAT